ACACCAATCACTGGTCCTTCAACGACACCAATCTTCATCGACGATTCGCCACCAACACCCGCACAGCAGTTAAACCCGACCCAACGAGAAGTCCACCGAAGCGCCAACCTCACCGCCAGCTTCTACTCCAACTCCGATCTGTATCGACGATCACCCGGACATCGCGCCGACGAAGGCACCTGGCACGCAAGGATGGGACACCCAAGCAACACAGTGTTAAACAATACGATAAGAGCAGGAGTGCTCGACAAGGACTCACTACTACTAACCGACGGGAGAGAACTTCAACGAGCACGTGGAACATGCTTCACCTGTCCTGAAGCTGACTTACCGCATCAGCCGTTCACATCTCACCACAATCCTAGTGCTCCGGTCTACGCGCCTCTTGAAAAGGTGTACAGCGACATCCTGTACAACCGCGCCCCCGGACAGAACGCGTACAACTACACCATCACGTTCATCGACGCAGCAACACGCTATGTCTGGCATCTCAACCTTCCAAGCAAGGACATGGCCCTCGAAGCCTTCGTCGCGTGGCTCCCCGTAGCAGAAAGGGAATCGGGCGTCAAACTAAAGAGCTTCCAGTCAGACGGAGGAGGAGAATACACCTCACAAAGGTTCAAGCAGTAGCTGGCAGAGAGAGGAATCAAGCGGCTCATTTCCCTTCCCTACGCCCATCAACAGCAAGGTGTAGCAGAAAGGATGAACAGGACCCTCCAGAACACCATGCGGAAACTATTACGTGGCATGCGGATACCCAACCACCAGTGGCCCGAAGCAATGGACCACGCCGTGATGCTGCACAACTTGCTTTCTTCGTCGTCACTTCCGAACAACGCATCACCGCATCTGCTGTGGACAAGAAAACTGGGCAGCACAAAAATGTTACGAGTCTTCGGCTGCATGGTACAGTATCGACCTCCATCTGCACAAGCAGGACGATTCTCCCAAAGAGCACAGTGGGGATTACACTTGGGCATCGAAAAACACTACAACGCATGGAAGATTTTCGACGTCGAGACAAAAGAAACAGTGGCAGCACGTGATGTCATCTTCTACGAGCGACTCACACTGCCGATGTACCTTGCCAACCTGGACGAAAACCGAGACCCCACAGGTGGCTTCCGTGGAGACCGAGCCTTCGCTTCGGCAGAAGACGAAGCTGACTGGGACGAGCAGAACGTGGAAGGAGCCTCGGAAGAAGCCGGACCCCTTCCCTACTGCTCCGTCAACGTGCCAATGGACGACGAAAACCCATGCGAAAGCATCAACGCCGAAACCTACTACCATTTCGCTGACAACGGTTACGTTACACCTGCGCAAGTAAACACCGACGAAGCAGAACGCGTAGGACCCAACTTCGCACCTGATCCAGAAGCGGGAGATGAAGCTGCTTATCCCGCGGACATGTCACTCCCCCGCTACACACAGAGTGGACTTCAGATACTTGGGCTCGTCACCGCAGTCCACGGCACGGCCGTTCCTAAGGAGCCTGCGACGGTTCAGCAGGCTCTGGGGGGGGAGCATAGGGAAAAATGGCGCGAAGCCATGGACAAAGAACTGAAGGCATTAGAGGAGCGCAACACGTGGAAAATTGTCCCCATCGGCGTAGCACGGAACAAGACCATTCTCACCGGGAAATGGGTCTTCCGCGTGAAGACGAAGGCCGACGGCACCATTGACAAATTCAAGGCACGCTGGGTCGTGCGCGGCTTCGACCAAGAACATGGGCGAGACTTCACCGAAACCTTCGCTCCGGTCAGCCGACACACTTCGCTCCGAATCCTTCTCGCGATCGCCGCCATGAAGAAAAAGAAGCTGCGGCAAATCGATGTCGCGAATGCATTTCTCTACGCACCCGTTGACGCAGAAATTTTCGTGGAACTACCGCACGGCACCAACGGGGAGCCCAACCAAGTCTGTCAGCTGCCGAAGTCGCTCTACGGGATCAAGCAAGCTCCGCGGCTATGGCAGCAGTACCTGCACGCTCGCCTCATTCGCATCGGCTTCAAGCAATTACCACACGATCAGGGGATGTATCGACTCACGAAAGGCGCAGATTACATCCTGCTAATCGTCTACGTAGACGATCTCCTCTACATCGGCTCAACCGACAGCGTCACTACCTGGTTCGAAGGGGAGCTGCAGCAGGACCTCACGCTGACAGTCTCATCTACCATTACACAGTACCTCGGGCTCAACATCCGGGAAGAGGAAGACGCTATCTACCTCAGCGCCGCGAAATACGCCGACACCATCGCCAAGCGCTTCGCACTCACACCAGCTGTCATCTCTACACCGTACCGCTACACGACAGGAAACAACAAGGAAGGCTCCGCTCTACTTAAGCCCGCCGGCATACGCGACTACCAGAGAAAGCTGGGCTGCCTTCTCTTCGCAGCTGTCACCTGCCGCCCAGATCTATCGTACTCTGCAAGCCAGCTCGCCACCTACCTCAAGAGGCCCGAAGCGGAACATCTAGCAGAACTCGACCGCGCTCTTCACTACCTCATTAGCACCCCGACGATTGGTCTAACTTACTACAAGAACGCAACTACGCCGCCTAAGTTAATCGGCTACGTCGACGCCGATCACGCTGGCGATTCCGAAAACAGGCGCTCTCGCACCGGCTACATTTACTGCCTCGAACCTATCGGACCTATCTCTTGGCAATCGAGCAAGCGGGAATTAATCGCCCTCTCGTCAGCAGAAGTAGAATATATTGCACTCTGCTCAGCCACCAAGGAAGGGCTTTACCTTCGCGAACTGCTGGAAGAAGCGAAGCTGGCTCAGTACCCAGCTTCACTCTGTTCTGCGACAACCAGTCGGCAATTCGCATTGCCAACAAGAACGGCTTCGCGAACAGGACGAAACACATCACCCTTCGATACTTCTTCGTGAAGGACGAGATCGAAAAAGGAAGGCTCGAGCTGTCATACTGCCCCACGTCCGAGATGGCAGCTGACTACTTGACCAAGAAGCTGGGAAAGCAGAAGTTCGAGTACTGCATGCTGCTGACTGGACAAAGCCACGTCACCAGCAGCGACACTCCAGAAGCGAAGGGGAGTGTTGGAAACAATTGTGGTTAAGCGCCTCTGTCGTGTCGAAACACTAAGGCACAAGCGAAGCAAAGCATATCGAGGTACCAGCGAGTCAACCCTCGGAGGTTGAAGTAACTGCTGGAGGTTACGCGAAAGTCAAAGGTCAGCGACCTTTGACCTGACAAGTACAGCGCGACAGCAAGGACACACAACTGACTCGCTACAGAGCAGTTGCCCGAGTCGTCACTGTATCGAACCGCAACAGCAACAGTAAAACAGTTATAACTGTATCCTTTCATATTCCTTGTACTCTTATATAATCTTGTATCTCCTTGCTTTAATCAACTTACTTTGCCCTCACATACTAGCGCAAGGTGGTTCACAATCTCTTCATTAAACGCTTCCGCTATTACATTGATCCTACCCAGAGTTCACCCCTGCAAAGATCCTAAGGGCTTTTCTCAGCCCAACACTATTTAAGGCATCTTAGCTTGTACTGGCTCGCCGACCAGGCAGGCCCAAACATGAACCATATTAGCAGGATAATTCTGACGACTTTTCTCAGCGTTAGAGGTGTCATTTTTGTCGCTAGCGTAGAAGGGATTGGCATAAAGTTCAAACTACTGTATATTTGATTAGGTTAGAAGTTTTTTTATCAGAAAATTAGTAATTTTTTTCATCTTTTTTTTTTACCTCTCGGTTCAAGATTTTCACAATTCAACGAAGAATGTCGTCTTTTGTGTATTTTGTGTTGTTATGCATACATTCTTTGTATCTCTATATACAGTAAGACACTGTGCTATTGTGTTGAACAGCTAAAGAGAACGCTTCTGCCGAATAAAAGGGAAAGTACCTTACTGTAGTACAACAATAATTGTAGCCACCACGCTTCAGCCAGGGAACAACATTATTTGCGCACAATTATTTGCCTTCCACACAAGCGTGAGTTACGGAGCATTGTCGAAGGACACGTCAGCTTCTCTCCCTCCTCTTCTCGCACCGCGCCAGAAAACTATCCAGGCTCGAGCCGCATGTGTGCTGGCCCCTTGCTCTCGACAATGTGTGGGGAGATGAACGCAACACCATAAATTGATTCACTATTCAGGGCATGTCAACCCACCCTCACTGTCGATACCACAGGTCGTATCTCACTAGTCATCTATCCATCATTGCTCATTCCTAAATCCGCCATTATAACCCTGTGCTAACTCACTTGTCGTGCGTCAGTCCTTTCAGCCACTGGCACTAAAGCGTCTGGGGGGGGATTTAGCTTCGTCACGGACGATGGGAAGTTATAGAATGGGCTCGAGGGCATACATGGCTTTCGTTCTCGTCGTCGCATTCTCAATTGCTCTAATTGGTCAATCTACTGCCCGGCTTCTCACCGAAGATCTTCCGCTGCCCGACGCATGCGCTCTCCTGCCCGAGCACTCCGCCCTGTGCTCCGCAGAAGTCGGCGCCGCGCGACGCTCGCTGCGTACGGATTCCGCTCCACCAGCTGCTCGTGAAGTGCAGCGGGCGCTCATTCGGCGCGCAATGGAGCGCGCGCAGGCGACGATGGAACACGTGGCGCAGCTGAAGGCGGAAAACGCGGACGAAGGCTCTCTGACAGACGCGGCAGCGATTGACTGCATTCACCAGGTACTTCATATTGGGGACGATAAAGAACAAAATCACGTTGCAACTGAAATCGCTAACGAATCCTCAGTTAAATGCCGCTGAAAACTAACTGCAATCTGCAAATTTCCAGCCAATGTTCCTCTCTACCTCGTCCCGCTCAGATATCTGCTCGAATTGCAATATCTGAACTGTAAATCCTCCCTGCCACGCTCCCTCCCTTGCTCGCCCCTGCAGATATCCATGGCACTCGACAATCTCGAGGATTCTCTGGGCGCCGTCACCGCCGCAATCAACGGCTCAAACTCCACTGCGGAAAACCGGCGTTTCAACGGCCGTCCGATGTTTCCGGCCGACCTCACGGCTTCCGTTGACGACCTGCCGTACCTGCTGACTTCAGCTCGGGCCAACATCGACAGTTGCGTGGAGGGGCTGCAGGAATTTGCGCCCGAAGCGCTTAACACGGCTCCGGGAGTGCGGCTTCAGGGGGAGGTCACGCTCATTACAGTCACAGTCACGGCAGCCCACTCTTTCGCCCCTTCCGCAAGCGTCGCCCTTTTGGGGGACGACGAGCTTTCCGCCTCGGCAGGCGGAAGCTATTCCGCCGACTACTCCGCTGACACTTCCGTCGATGCTTACGAGTACGATTACGCCTCACCCGCTCGCCGCCGGATGACGACGGAAACGGGCCAATCAGGCGACGGCGGCGCGCCTGAGTGGGTAACCCCGGGTATTTTTGAGCACCTGAAGAGGATTCAGGCGGCTCATATGCGCGGGGGGAGCGCGGGCGGCGCGGGTGAATTGGGGGGCGCGCGGAGACTTCTCGGCCTGGATGGCGCGGGTGTGGATCATGCTTATGGCGGGGATGCGGGTGATTCTTACGATGCTGTTGATCAGCTTCGGAGGGGGCTTCAAACTTCGGGTTCGGGTTCAGGTTCGGTCTCCAGCAGCGTCGGCAAGAAGAGCCAGGGCGGGCATCACGGCGCGAATGGCGGGCATCACGGCGCGACTGGTGGACATCACGGCGGGAAGAACGGCGGGAAGAGCGGCGGGACGAACAGCGGGACGAACGGCGGCACGAACGGCGGCAAGAACGGCGGGACGAACGGCGGGAAGAACGGCGGCAAGAACGGCGGCAAGAACGGCGGGAAGAACGGAGGCAAGAACGGCGGGAAGAACGGCGGGAAGAGCGGCGGGAAACCTGGCGTGAATATGGGAGGACTTCTGGATACCGGGGACTTCAAGGGCGAGTACAGCAGCCTGCTGCCGCCCCAGGTGGACGCGATCGTCGCCAAGGACGGCTCCGGCACCCACAAGACGCTCACGGTAAGGACGATTTGACGGCTAGCGGTGAGAGTAGACGGACACAGCTTGGTGTGACGGCTACATGCGGTACCATTTTCCTGTCTAATAACAACCTTTTTTTTTCCTTTTTGCTCACCCTGGTTTCTTGCAGGCTGCAATTGGTTCCGCACCAATGAAAGGCACGTTTGTTATTTTCATCAAGGCGGGAGTGTACGACGAGCAGATTATCTTCGACAACAAGGGGATTGTCCTCGTTGGAGAAGGAATTGGCAACACCATTATTACTGGCAAGAAGAGTGTGAATGGCGGATCAACCACCTACAACTCTGCTACCATTGGTAAGTAACGACTCAAACTCGTTCCCCCTTTGTTCGATCTCTCTCTATCCAGTCTTTCTCCTTCCGCCCTTCCCCTCTCTCTCTCTCTGCGGGAGAGCAGGCAGTGGCACCGCGCTCTCTCATCTCAATCGGCGTAGAATGCATCCTCACTCCCCGCTCCTTTCTCTCTCTCCCGTCCCATCCAACGCCCAATCTTCCCCCAACCCTAGGTGCCAACAAGGGCATGTTGACAGCACTCGGAATAACCGTCCGCAACACGGCGGGGCCGGCGGGCGAGCAGGCAGTGGCGCTGCGATCCAAGGACCTCTCGGCTTTCTTCGAGTGCGAGTTCGACGGCGCCCAGGACACTCTCTACCCTCACAGCGGCCGGCAGTACTTCCGCGACTGCCGCGTCGGCGGCACCGTCGATTTCATCTTCGGAAAATCCGCGGCCGTTTTCGACCGTCCGCAAATCAGGCTTCACCCGGACGATCCGGTGATTATCACCGCGCCGCAGAACGACCCCAAGTACCCAGATCCCAAGGGGATTATCATCAGGGATGCGGTTATCAGTGCGGACGCGGGCGTCGGGAAGGCGTATCTGGGCCGGCCGTGGACCAACACGGGGACTTCCATTTTCATCAACTGCTTCCTGCCCAAGGAGATCCAACCTGACGGTTGGCTGACTTGGGACGACGACACCGTTAAGCTCGCCAAGAAGAACGGCGTCTTCTTCGCGGAGTTCCGGAGCACCGGGCCCGGAGCGCGCATGCCGCGTGCCAGGTGGGTGTCGCCGCAGAGGATCAGCAACCCCGCGAGATTCACGGCGGAGGCTTTCCTTGGATGGACGAACTCCGGCTGGGCTGGTGTGGGACAAGAACCTGACGTTGACAACAGCGGGAAGTAATGACGCTTATAACGAATCAGAGGCCGCGGAACGGTTCGAGTGGCGAAAGACCCGTCGCGGGTGAACAGCTTAGGCGTTTCTCGGGGTTTCGCATGCGGCAAGGCGGGACGGCGAACACGAACCGTCAACGACAGAAGTCCAGACCTATCGCTCCTGAATAAAGTCGGCCGGAACCCGAAAATAAAAAGGAAACGGTACTAGACTGCGAAATAAAGACAATGTGCCAGCTCCAACAACCTCGGTTGGACCGCACATAGAAACTAGGATTGGTCGCGGATCATGATTCAGCATAGGCTCATCTGTCAGAATTTGAAATGTGTGAAATCTGAAACGCTAACAATATTGGTTTTTGTTTCTTCTCTAGTTTCAAGATTCTAGACTCCCCAGATTATCAATAGAAAAAAGGGAAAGTATGTCAATGGTAACATACATGGGGCTCTTTAACGCGTACAGTAACTATTACAGTACATTTTCACGCGTTTGGTAACTCGTTTCACGCAATTGGTAACTTAGCACTGGCGAATGATCACGCGAATGGTAACTAGATGAAACTCCTGCCGAAATGATCCTGACTAAGAGGAATTTGTTAAATTGAAATATTTCACGCACCGTTTAATCGATCTTGAACGATTCCCGCCGTGACTTTGAAGGATCGCGTTTGTTCAATTACCACGGACCAAATAGTTTCAGAGCCGTTTCATATCTATTTTAAGCTCTGAAATATAGTACTAACAAGTACAATAATATTCTTGCAAGCATGATTGCATAATTGCAAAATGATGAAATTTTCCCGGAAAAGCGACAATACTTTTATAAAAAATAAATGTGTGATTAGTGCAGCGTGGGATAATTTTGGAGGTGAGAAAATAATACACCCTTCCGAATGGCATGCCTTTATTGTAGAAATAGCATTGAACGCCCTGTCGCAAGGAGTTTAGGGTTGATGCTCTCAAAATCATTTGCCATCCGAAAGGGGTATATATTTTTTGCCCCGGTTGTTCGATAGAATTAAGTAAAATCAGTTTTCCGCGAGCGCCAGAATATCAGCGTTATATGAGAAACGGTTTTCAAAACAGCAACTTTTTACAAAATAGTCCGAATTTCGGAAAGTGTGTCAGAATTTCGGAAAGTGTGTCAGAATTTCGGAAAGTGTGTCAGAATTTCGTGCTTCAGGACTCGTCAATTCAGTCTGGCGCGAGCGGGAAAAACCAGAATCAGGGTCAAGTTGGACGAGGGTTTCTTCTAGTTACCATTCGCGTGATGGCTTGCCAGTGTATAGTTACCAAACGCGTGAATCGAGTTACCAAACGCGTGAAAATTCATTGTTATGGTTACCGTACGTGTTATAAAGCCCCATGTATGTTACCATTCGCATATTTTCCCTAGAAAAAATCTCTATTCCAAGACCACTTTCATGCTCAAATACCACAAGTACAGTGAGTCGCTTAGCTGCATACACTTGGATACAAACACAAACTACCTATACAAGCCAAGTAAATGCCCTGTTATACCTTGTTGCAACTCCAGGATGTTGTTGCCCTACTTCTTGCCAGAGTGCACAAATACTACAAATCAGAGTTCTTGCTGCTAAAAAATGAAAAGAATACCCGACTCGTCACGTACAAAAATGGTAAATGGGGAATCCTATACCAGAGCGGATCTTACAACAAGTGGGCTGCGCACATTATGGCCATACTGGTCCTTCCACGTGATGGACCCAAACCGGAAGGCCGCAACCGGCTTCAACGACGATATGGTTACAACATATGTGGCTGCTTGTCCTGGGCGCAGCGTGAATTTGGTGGGCCACACACTCACCTTGACACCCTTGGGTGCATCAACTGAAACTTTGTATGTCGACGTTTCAGAGAACACATTCGTGGCTCTCCTTGTAACAAAAGCAATGCCGACGAGGTTTGTAACGGAGATGGACGCCCGGTTGAGATTGTACGCCCTCATTGGCACGATAAAGGGCACAAAGGGGAAGAACCGCTTTGTCCGAATGAAGCTCTGCCCTGCCAAAAATCGCAAGTAGCTCCGGAAACGGGTATTATATGTCAACCCGGGATCCAAGGCGCGCGACGGATTGATGTGCCCAGCTCCCATATCCAATGGTGTAGCTTCACCAACTGCCTCTCTTTTTATCGGCTTCTTGACCCCATTATCAGTGTGTGCTGTAGTCATTAGTGCGGACATTACTTGCGCCGGGGTCCAGTGTGGCCGGCGTTGCATTATTAGCGCAGCTACACCCGCGATGTGAGGTGTAGCCATGGAAGTCCCGGAAAGGTACGTGAAATCCCGCGACTGTGGATATTGGGGGTTGAGACTCCAACCCGAAGCTGAAGTCGAAGCTCCCGAGCCTGAATTGGTGCTTGGAGGTTCGGAATTGATTGGTGTCGAGCCTGGGGTGTCACCCCCGGACGTAGAACCATCAGGTGGAGTAGAGCCGTCAGTTGGAAGGGAATCCCCCGAGGAAGATAACGAGTTATCTGACGTGGCTGATTGGTCGCCTCCAGAATCTGAGCCAGCACCGCCGGAATCTCCCGGCATGGCAGCCACAAGGTCGCAGCCCGGACCGATGATATCCGGTTTCAGGATGTTGTTCGTCGGTGTGAAAGGCGGGAATATCTTGAATCGCGGGCTGACGACGGGCCCAGCAGAGGAGAACGACGCGATGACGGGAGCCGTTGGGTCGATAGCCGTCCAAGATGCCGTGATTTCCGCCGACGGGTTATCTGTAGACTCGAGATATTTTCTCAGAATCTCTCCGTGCTCCACAGATAGAACGATCGCAGGCCTTCCTCCCGCTCCTGCTGCGACTTCCTTGAGCGTCGCAAACATCCCCACTTGAGGCGTCTTCCTTTTCAGTTTCAGTGTGTTGACGACGCCTGAGGGAGAAGCGCTGCTTCCCACAACCAGCACGGCTCCAGCTGATGGTGCTTCAGCCGTGCAGGCGGAGAGGGAGGAATCAGAAGAGGTATAATTGCAAATTACCCAAGGAACGGAGTCGTCGGGAGAGGAAGGAGGGGCATTCATGACTGGTGTTGAGTCTGTCCAGGTGCCTGCAGTAGACGAGTTGTCATCAGAAGAACTGTCGGTAGTAGAGCTGTCAGGGGAGTCAGAAAGCAAGGCTTCTGGGTCTGCTGTTGCTGTGGTGGCACCGCTCCCACTGGTGCTGCTGCAACTAATAACACCGCCGCTGCTGCTGGTGCCGCTGCCGCTGGTGCCGCTGCTGCTGGTGCTGTCGCTGTTGCTGACATCGCTGCTATCATCTAAAGCTGGGTCATCAGCACCACCCGAGCCATCGGTAATGCCAGTGCTGCTGCTGCTATCATCAATTGTGTTGTCAGAAACAGCATCACCGGCAGAACCATCAGTGCCGCCAACATCAGCAGCACCAGCAACATCAGTGTCACTTCCACTGCTGCAGCTGACACTACTCTCCCCTCCTCCCCCTGTTCCCCCTCCTCCCACTCCCCCACTCCCTGTCCCGGAACCTATGAGAGAGACTGCGCCGTTGGTGCCTACGGGAGGAGGGGTAGTTCCCACGCCAGTGATTTGCGACCCGTCTCCGAGGGTCATTTGCAGATTGTAGTACCGGCTTATGGAGCTGAGGGGAAACGGGGGTAGGATGTGAAAAAAAGAGAAGAAAAATATGGTAAGATAAATGAATGGGAGGAAAGGGGAGACGGGGAGAGGGAGGGGGTAAGGGAATGAATGAGGAAGGAGGAAAGGGGTGCAGAAACTGAGTAGAAAGAGTACATTAAAAAACCCACAGCAGCGGTGAGGGTTGAGCTTTATTTCAAATATTAAACAACGGCCACAAAGAGCCCATTCGTACCTGGCGCCGACAGTGAGGTAGAAGGGCGAGGCATTCCCAATGGTGCCGACCAGCTTTTTGGGATTCGGGCGGCCAGAGTTTCCCGCAGCCATTGCAATAAACACACCAGCCTGAAAGGTCGCGTGGGAGACAGATCACGAGAACGATAAGTGTATTTTATCACTGAAATTTATTTTCCGGAGCCAATGTAACATACCGGTATGAGGAGAATTTGAGGCGAGTTTGGAAGCAACAGTATCTCACTCACCTTTGCAGCATTGAGATACGCGATGTCTGAGAAATAGCTCGGAACGTTCCCTCCCAGGGAGATGGAGAGCACATCCACACCGTCGGATACGGCCGCATCAACGGCTGCGCGGATGTCCGAGTACGTTGCGAGCGTCTGCCCGTCTCTCTGCTTCCAGAGAACTTTGTAGATGGCGAGCCGAGCGCGGGGAGCCATGCCGCTGGTGTTGCCGTATGAATAGCCCGTGCCTGCTGCGTACTGCACATGCCCGTTGCCTGCTGCTGCTCTGAAAGTGGTGAGGAAGGGTGGAGAAGGGTTCGGAGGAGAATTGGAGTGAGGAGAGGAAGGGAGGGGTAGTTCCACTGGCGTTGCCATATGAATAACCCGTGCCTGTCGCATACTGCACACGCCCGTTGCCTGCTGCTGCTCTGCAAGTGGGGCGAGGAGAGAGTGTGGGGAAAAGACGAGGGTGAGTGCAGGAGACCAGAGGAGGATAGGGTAAAGAGGGAGAGAGGAGGGGGAGAGAAGGGGGGTTAAGGGGAGAGCAACGCGACTCGTTCTATGTACTTCCAAGTAATAGCACTCGACCAATCTACTTACCCCGCACACCGAGTGCCAGGACCATCAGCATCCCAATCCAACATGTAGCCGGCGCTGCTGCTGATATCCCCATGTGATTGTGGCCTACCTTTAGAAAAATCATGAATCAATTTACTTACCCTGCACACCAAGTGCCATGACCATCCGCGTCGCGAGCCGAAAGGTAGTCGGCGCTGCTGCTGATGGCCCCCACGTTCCTCTTAAAGCCCTTGCTGAAGAACCGCGCTCCAATCACCTTGCGGTTGCACGCGCTGAAATCCGCCCGCCTCTCACACCGGCCTCGCCACCGCCTGGGGGGCCTGCTGTACGGCTTGTAGGCCTGGGAGGGGGGAGGAGGGGAAGAGTGGGGAACCAGAAAAATGGGGGAGAGGAAATAAGCTGGACAGCAATTGACTTTCTCACACCTGCCTCGCCACCGCCTGGGGGGCTGCAGTAGGGCTTGTAGGCCTGGGGGAAGGGGGGGAGAGAGGGGGACGAGGGGAATTGGGGGGAGGAGGTAAGCTCACACCTGCCTCGCCACCGCCTGGGGGGTTGGGGGAAGGGGGTTGGGAAAGAGGGAGTAACTCAGACCACTGTAGACCGTTTCTCACACCTGCCTGGCCACCACCTGGGGGATGCGATGCAGCAAGGGAACAAGGGATGCAGCAACGAATGAAGCAAGCTGCTTACAACAAAAATCATGCGAGCCCCTCAACCATAGTGCCCCTGGAGGATACTCACGGGATCACTGAACGAAGGGTGCTCCGGCCAAATGCCCGTGTCGACAATCCCGATGACCATCCCCTCCCCCGCGCTGTCCTGCCCACCCGTCGCGGGCCACAACGATTCGGGCAGCTTCAAAAACCTCGGCGAATCAGTGGTGAGCTTCGTAAACAAAACATCCGGCTCAATTGCGGCCACTGCGGGATGCTTTTTCAATTTCTTCACTTCCGCTGCTGTAAGCGTCGCCGCGAAACTGTTCGCGGTGAAAGTGGAACTCTGGAAAATATTTTCCTCGGCGATATTCAGGCTCGCGAGAATTCGCCGCTGCGACTGCTCCAGAAATTGCTGAAAGTCCTTAACGGGTTGGGATAGCATATCGGGGATGTTTCGCGGCCGTTGCGACCAGAAATTTAACTCCGCCCGCTGGTCGGCTTTCTGCTTCGCGTCTTTTAACTTATTCACAGCCGCCGTCGCCGCCGACTCGACGCGTTTCAGAATCGCCTTGGCGATTTTCGCGGCGGAATCGACGGCGGCCGCGGCGCTCTCCATCGCGTCGGCGACGGGCACGTCCTGCGATTTAAGAACCTTGTTCATAACCTCCTTAAAAGCACCGTCGTTAGTGTCGTCGTCGACGCTGTCCTCGTCGTCGTCGCCGTCGTCGGGAATCGCCGTGGCTTTAAAGCCCATTAGCCCCCCGCGATACGTCAGGATTGGAGGAGCGGAGGATAGATGGACAATGTAGGATTTTGTAGCTTGGGAGGCGGCGGAAGCGGATGCGGCGGAGGAGGAGCGGGAGCGACGAACGGACGAGGAGGAGGAGGAGGAAGGAGCAGAGGAGGTAGAGGCGGAGGGAGAGGAAGAGGAAGAGGAAGAGGAAGAGGAAGAGGAAGAGGAAGAGGAAGAGGAAGAGGAAGAGGTTGATACTACTAGCGGGTGGGAAGACGAGGACGGTACGGAAGCAATTGAGACCGACGAAGACGATGGCGTGGAAGAGGAGGATGCTGACGTGTCATCGTCGACGATGTCGGGCACGTCAGCATCCGCGAGCGTGATGACCGTGAGATCGCTGCCGTCGTCATCCCATGCGCCTGCTGAGTCGGCAGAGTCCGTTGCTGTTCGGAATGCGGGGGAGGGGGGAAGTGGGGGGAGGGAGGGGAGGGGAAAGGGGGAGAAGGGGGAAGAGTGTGATGATGATGAGGTCGCTGCCGTCGTCATCTCACGCGCCCGCTCCTCCTGTCTCGGCAGAATCTGCTGCTGCTGCTGGGAAGGTGGGGGGGAGTAGCGGAAGGTGGTGGTTGGGAGGCTTGTGAATGGGAGGAGGGGGAAAAGGGGGGGTTGAAGGGGGAAGAGGGCGGGAGGCACGGGAAGGACGCTCCACCTGTCGTACCCTCGCCCTCTCACTCCACCCCCTCCCCACCTTCCCCCTATCCCTTCCTCCCCAAATACTCCTTCGTGATACCCACCCCCTGATTCTCCTGCCATACCTCTCATGCTCCACTTCCCCTGATACTCCTTCCTGTCCAGGCGAACCCCCTCCCTGTCGGCACAGTAACCCCCCTTCCCCCTCCCCCTCTCCCCCCCCCCTCCTCCCCCCCACAGCTACTCTTTGCGCTCGTGCGCTGGCATGATCTCCCAATTTTTTTTTTTCGGAAGCATAGCCCGGGCGCACATCTGCGCGCACGCCCGTGCGCCCTTGGGAATCCCCACGCATCCTTGCGCCTCCCTCGCGCAACCCCGCTCATGCTCGCGCACCCTCGCGCATCCCCCTCATCCCGCGCAACCTCGCGCAACGCGCGCAGCCGCGCACTCAAGCATAGCTATGGTGCCTTGGAATTGTGACACGGGAAACACGGCCAGCACGAGCAGCATGACTTTTGAGGGACCTTATAACGCGCCCTACACGCACGCAAGCATACCTATGGTGCCTTGTAGTGACACGGGAAACACGGCCAGCACGAGCAGCACGAGCAGCGGAAGCGACAGCAGCGGCGACCGTCGCGATAAGGAGCATAAGCTGCGCGCGCCTCGCCTCCTCTTGCCTCGGCTTAGCTGTCTCCTAAGAACCATTTCCGCGCAAGCTAGTTAATAGGCTCTAACGGCAACAGCGGTCCTAACGGAACCAGAGGGCCTGAAACTAGGTTTCCTGAATAATATTCGTAACCTGGGCGAAATGTTTTGAACGCGGGGTGACGAATAACGAAGCGGACAGCCTAGGTCGCGACGATTGACAAATTATGCTAGTCAAGCAACGGCGCATTGGGGGAAACGGAATGGCTACTGAATAGAACGGTGCGCATAAGCCGACGCCGGCAATGGGCCAATTGAATTGCTGCGACCTAGGTGCGAGGAGCGGCGACGCAACAAATGACCCTACTAAAACTGTTGGAAGCCCCCTGCGCCTTTCCAAACGAGGCCCTGTTAGTTTCGCTGGCCGCACAGCAAGTCGGCAGCTTTGTGGCCATAGTAATGCTCTCTAGTCGCAATACTGTTGTGGCAATTCATGATCGCACTCGCGCCTCATCAGAAGTCCATGCCATGCCAATTATTGCTGGGCTATGCTTTTGTTTGGTGCAGTGCAGTTCCCCTCCTGAATCATGGCCAGGCTCCTGAATCCTGACCTGACCTGGAGACGGAGGCGTGTACAGTAATGTATGCTGCAGTTCAGTGCAGGTGACAAAGTCGGTGTGATGGTTTAACGTCGGGCTCATTCAAAAGTCCCTACCAAAACTGAAACCCGAATGGAGCAGATTGGAGACTCCACGCGTTTTGTGAAACCGCCTTTGGCCTTCCTGCATACAATCCCGTCTCTCGCTACCAGCTTCATGTGTTCCGAGCTTCGTCTGTTGTTCGTTTGGGAGTGCGCCCTCGTTCTCAGGTGGGTAGTTAGTGGAAGATGCTGGTTCGGCAGCTGAGGTTTCGTTTTTGTGCAACCGCGCTTCGGTGACATTGAGGGAGGAATCTTGCTTGAACACCTGGGCTGTGGTCTCCATGATTTGAAGTGCAACGCGACAAAACGGGCCTCCACATCCTTGCGGTAATGGTCCAGACCAGACCGAAGACTCAGTACGGTGCAACCAGTTCATGTCAAAAAGATGTAAACACTCCTTTTGTACAAAGCCTCTTTATACTTCTTTGCCACCCCAATCAATATATAAAAATATTCAGAATTGACAATATCATTTGATTCTGATGTGCTGATATGGATCCTTCAAGGCCCTCATGGATCTTTTATCACCTCAAAAACTAGAATATGCATCAAACTCTTATCAGTCCATGATTATTTCCGCCAACTCGTTTCCCTGTTTGTGACTGTCATAAGAATACTGGTTCCAAATGCAAGCTGTTCGATTCTACTACCCCTGGGTGAGTGCAGAGTGCAGCGCATCATAGCGGGTACATTCTGGTCAATCTCCCTGCCGAAAAGTGCGGAGGCCTTATGTCTCCTATCCAAGTAGCCCGCCCGTTTTTTTATCACTGACTCCTGTTTTGCTTGTTTCTTCCGCAGTGGTTTGCTTTGCCACCTGTTCTTCTGTTCCTCTGTTCTTCTGTTCCTGCACCTGTCAGGGAGCCCCCATTTGCCGCAGTCTGTTTACAAGCGTAACTCTAGCCGTTACCCTTCGCCGAATTAGTTCGCGAACATGAAAAGAGCGCGGCGGGAAACGTCATTCAAGGATGATGCGAAAGGCAGTCGCCTGCTGTCGCTCCCGGACGACATCCTTCTGTTGCTTCTCGCCCTTGCGACCCACCCCTGCGATCGCCGCAGCGTCGCTCTCTCCTGTTCGCGCCTCCACCGCCTCTCGCGTCGCACGCCCCACTCGCTCCATTTCGTCTTCATCGCACCCTTCAAGTGCCCCAACGCGCGCAGGTGGCTCAAAGATTTCGACGACTTTTCGAGGGTATTTACCCGAATAATTTCGCTAACCGTGGAGGTTCGTTCGAGCCAGGGAAGTGACCTGCTGGCGAGTATCGGTGCGGGCTGCCCGAAACTGGAATCTCTGAAGCTTGTCGCGACGTGGGGGGGGTTTTATATGAACGCTGCCGCGTGGACGAAGCTTGCAAGACAATGCCCGTGAGCAAGCTGATTATGTCCTCCTTGATTTGATTTTTTACTCCTCTCGTCCTTATATTCAGTCACACGAGTGCCCATTGTAAGAACGCCGCTGCGTGGCTGATTGAAGCTCGCGAAGAAATGCCCGTGAGTGTGCTGATGCTCTCTTCCCCGCATTTGACTCTCGACCCATCTCGTCCATTTTTGGTGCGTCTCAAAACTCGGTTTTTGAGAAGTCTCAAAACCCGTGAGTGTGCTGATGCTCTCTTCCCCGCATTTGATGCTTGACCCATCTCGTCCACTCAACACCTCTCACATCCCTCACCCTCCCGTCCATGCCTTCCCTGCTACCCCCCTCCATTTTCAGCCTCTTGACGTCTCTCGAGCTCGACTCCCCATTCGCCCGTCGTCCCATCATCAGCTTCCAATCGAATCACACCCCGTTCCAATTTTTTTCATGCCGTCCCTTCCCCCCCTCCCCCACCCCCCCCCCACCCCTTCCTCCCGCCCTTCCTTTCAGCCTCCTGACATCTTTCGAGCTCGATTCTCCATTTGCCCGTCGCCCCATCATCTGCTTCCACCGTACTCACGCTCCCCTCCCTTCTTTTCATGCCTTCCTTTCTCTCCCTCCCTTCCTTTCAGCCTCCTGACGTCTCTCGAGCTCGACTCGCCATTTGCCCGTCGCCCCATCATCTGCTTCCACCATACTCACGCGCCCCTCCCTCCCGTCCACCTCCTCCCTTCCCTGCACCCCCCCCTCACCCTCCTGTCCATTTTCAGGCTCTTAAAATCTCTCGAGCTCGATTCCCCATTCGCCCGTCGCTCCAACTTCTACCAACACCGTACTCACGCGCCCCTCCCTCCCGTCCACCTCTTCCCCGCTCTCCACTCACTCTCTCTCCTCATCCGTGCCTCAAAACTCACCCCCCTCACTCGCGCCTCCTCCCTCACCTCCCTCACTCTCTGGAACCCCGCTCCCTCCACCCTCTCCTCCCTCGCCGCCTCCTCCTCCTCTCTCCGCCTCTCCCTCAAATCCCTCTCCCTCCACTCCGCAAAGCTAGAGTCCTGCCTCTCACCCCTCCGCCGCTTCCCCGCCCTCGCCTCTCTCTCCTTCCTCTCCTGCTCCATCAATCCCTATGAGCTTCACACTCTCTCTCGCTCCCTCCACACTCTCACCCACCTTACCATCCACGACTGTCCCTTAGTCTCTAGCCATTCTCTAGCCGCTCTGGTTCAGGCCAACCCTGCTCTCTCCTCTCTCTCCCTCCACGGCACCTCCTACCGTCTCTTCAGTGCGCAGGGTTTCCGCTCACTCCTCCACCTCTCCGCACCCCGCTTGAACGCACTTGACCTCTCTGGGCTGCCGTCCGTTCGCCCCGGCATGCTTGCTCACTGCAGCGGCCTTCATTCCCTCTCCTTGGTAGGAAAGCCGGAAACAATCTCTGTGCAAAGGGAGAGAGGTGGTGAGACCGGGGCAGGGGACGGGAGGGGTGGAGGAGGGAGGGAGGGAGAGGGGGGTGAGAGGGGTGAAGAAGGGAGGGAGGGAGAGGGGGATGTGGAGGAAAGGGTGGTGCTTCAGCAAGTGTCGTTTGAGAGTCTTCTGGGTATTCTGGTGCGCATGGTGCAGAGGGGAGGAGAGGGAGGAGAGGGAGGAGAGGGAGGAGAGGGAGGAGAGGGAGGAGATTGTTCGAACGACGTTCGAACGACGGCACCACCAGGGGAGATTGTTAGAACTTTTGACTCTAGGAACAAGGGAGGGAGAAAGGAATATGTGGACATTCGAACGACGGCAGCGGCAGCAAGAGCAGACCTGGTGGCAGCAGGTACAGACATATCCAATCTCTTTGAAGCAACAAGCAAGGCCTTCACAACCGCCCCTGATTCTGCCCGGTGGGCCCGCACAGCCCGCCCTGAATACGCCCTAGCGGAGATCAAATCCGCTTCGAACAAAATCAGATCTGCGATTTCGATGTGCAAGGCGCTGCGGGTGGCGGTTTCTGAGCAAGACGCGGCGACTGCGAGAGAGGATGGGGTGATAGACACGTTTGTTGCTGCCAGGACTGCGGGCGTGTTTGTGGATAGTCTGGAAAGGGCTAGTATGGAAGGGGAGGGCGAAGGGGGAGGTAGAATGGCTCGGCTGGAAGACTTTGATGGAATGCTGCCTGATGAAGACTCGCTCAGTGATGGTTCTGACAGTGCTTTTGGTGCTGATGCTGCTGATGGTGCTGAAGGGAGTGACGGTGAGGGTGAGAGTGGGAGTGAACCTGGAAGTGTTGCAGGTGCGGCTGACGCACGGATGCAGGCTTTAAAGCCCAAGACCTGAATTACTCAACGGAAGTCAACGCTAAAAACTAGGTTCGGGAGGCAGGCACGGAGAGGTTCGGTTGGGTTGCGAGAGACTTTCACTCGCGAAACCAATTTGCGACACAAGTTTCTCGCTTCCCATGATGGGTGGGGTCCTTCCCACAACCAGAAAAGCGCGAGCACAGCAAACTGTGCACAGTTTGAGATATCACGCTAAGTACTAGGCATAGACCATACTTGTAGACAGGGCAGGGCGTCGGCGTTCACTCAACAGGGATCAGATGGGCCTTACGATGTGGGTGGCGCGGATTTCGATGATGACGCGCAACCCTAGTGTTCGCTGGGTGAAGTTTTTTGTGTCGAAATGCAGGTTATTGTGCAACTACTCCGTAGCGTAAACTCGCGGCGAAAATCGAATCGCCCAAACGTGACCCCTCCCGTCGCCCTCGCTTTCCTTTCCCTCACTTCCGCTCTCTGTCGCCCGCGTCGTCGCCATCGCGACCGCAGCTCGTCGCGTTCGCGACCCCAGCCCGTCGCCTCCGCTCCGCCCGTCGCCTTCACTCCCCCCCCCCCCCCCCCCCCCTCTTCCGTTGCCTTCATTTCCCCCTCCCGTCGCCTTCACTTCCCCCTCCCGTCGCCTTCATTTCCCCCTCCCGTCGCCTTCATTTCCCCCTCCCGTCGCCTTCATTTCCCCTCCCGTCGCCCTCATTTCCCCCTCCCGTCGCCCTCACTTCCCCTTCCCGTCGCCTTCACTTCTCCCCTCCGATGCCTTCGATTCCCCCTCCCGTCGCCTTCCACGCCTGCCGCACTCGCTTTCCCGCCCGTCACATTCGCTTCCCCACCCGTCACCTTCACTTCCCCTCCTGCTCCCTCACTTTCCCCCTGCTCACTCTCTCCCCCCCCCCACTCACTCTCTTTCCCCCTGCTCACTCGCTTCCCCCCGCCTCATTCTCTTTCCCTCTGCTCACTCCTCTTGTTCTCACCCCGCTTTCCCCATTTCTCACCCATTTTCCCCCTTCATGCTCTCTTTCTCTCTCTCCCACCGTCGCCCTCCCTTCCACTCCTCGTTGCCCTTGCCATCCCTCCCTTCTCCCTTCCCATCTCGCACACTTGTCACGCCCCCTTTCCAACCCGCACATACACCCTTCCCTTCTTCCCTGTTTCCCCGTATCCCCTGCGCTGCTTCCCACCATCCTCCGACTTGCTCCCCCCATCCCCTTCCCTGCTTTCCCCTTCCCCTCCCCTGCCTCCCCCCATCCCCTTCCCTGCTTCCCCCCATCCCCTTCCCTGCTCCCCCCCATCCCCATCCCTGCTTCCCCCCATCTCCTTCCCTGCTTCCCCCCATCTCCTTCCCTCCTTCCGCCTGTGCCCTCCCCTGCCTCCCCCCATCCGCTTCCCTGCTTCCCCCCTTTCCCTTCACTGATCCCCCTCATCCCCTTCCCTGCTTCCCCCCATCTCCTTCCCTGCTTCCCCCCATCCCCTTCCCTCCTTCCCCCCATCCCCTTCCCTGCTCCCCCTCATCCCCATCCCTGCTTCCCCCCATCTCCTTCCCTGCTTCCCCCCATCCCCTTCCCTCCTTCCCCCCATCCCCTTCCCTGCTCCCCCTCATCCCCATCCCTGCTTCCCCCCATCTCCTTCCCTGCTTCCCCCCATCCCCTTCCCTCCTTCCGCCTGTGCCCTCCCCTGCCTCCCCCCATCCCCTTCCCTGCTTCCCCCCTTCCCCTTCACTGCTCCCCCTCATCCCCTTCCCTGCTTCCCCCCATCTCCTTCCCTGCTTCCCCCCATCCCCTTCCCTCCTTCCGCCTGTGCCCTCCCCTGCCTCCCCTCATCCCCTTCCCTGCTTCCCCCCTTCCCCTTCCCTGCTCCCCCCTGTCCCCTTCCCTCCTTCCCCCCGTCCCCTCCCCTGCCTCCCCCCATCCCCTTCACTGCTTCTTCCCAACCCCTTCCCTGCTCCCCCCCATCCCCTTCACTGCTTTCCCCCTTCCCCTTCCCTGCTTCCCTCCATCTCCTTCCCTGCTTCCCCCATCGTCTTCTCTGCTCACCCTTGCTCCCTCTGTTTCACTCTTGCTCCCTCTGTTTCACCCTTGCTCCCTCTGTTTCACCCTTGCTCCCTCTGTTTCACCCTTGCTCCCTCTGTTTCACCCTTGCTCCCTCTGTTTCACCCTTGCTCCCTCTGTTTCACCCTTGCTCCCTCTGTTTCACCCTTGCTCCCTCCCCTTCTTCTCTTCTCACTTTCCTCCCCCTTGCTCACTCTCTTTACTTCTGCTCACTCTGTTCCCCCCTGCTTCCTCTCTTCCCCTCTGTTCAATCTGTCCCCCGCTGCTTCTTCTCCTCCCCTCTGCTCATTCCGTTTACTGTCTTTCCCACTACGGTATTATATTAATTATTGAACTCCTTGGTATTGGTCATATGTATGACTGCTCTGAGGCTCATAATCCTGTATTATAAAAAAAAATCCAGTACATGGCATGGCTATACATCATGTTACTATCAGACAGCCTAGGTTATTCACAACCAGATGCAGAGCAGGCCTGTCCAAACACAAACCAAGAAGTCAGATGTGACGTGGCTGAAATATAAGGGAAGCAAGCATTCAAAAGAATGACAACTGGCAAATGAGGGAGGAACGGAGGAATGGAAGGCAAATGCAGGAATGAAGGAAGGGAGGAAGTGATGATGGGAGGAAGGGAGGCAGGGAGGACGCTTGGGGGAGAAGCAGAAGGGAGGGGAGGAAGAAAGGCTGGGGAGGAGGGTGGGGAGGAGAAAGGGTGGCAGGGAGGTAACGAGGATGGAGGATGGGAGGAACAGATGGAGGTGAGGTACGGCAGATGGGAGACATGGAGGAACGGGGCGGGGAGAGGATGGAATGAGAAAACGAGAGGAGGGAATGAGAAAACGAGAGGAGGGATCGCGAGAGGAGGGATAGGGGCAGGAGTTGGGGATGGGATGGATGGGGAGGAGGGGATGGGTATAGAAAGGATGGATAGCGGAGGTGGTGAAGAACAAACCTTTTGGCGAGGCGGAAGATGGGAAGATGGGAAGAAGCAGGGAGGAGAGGGGCCGGGTGGAGGTGACGAGGAGGTCGCGGGATGGGGTATGACCGTATGGTGGGATGGGAAAGTTGGCAGAGGGAATGATGGGATCGGAAAAGGAGGGATGGGGAAACGAGGGAATGGGGATGAGGAGTAGGATGGCATGGCGGAATGGGGTGGGGCGGAATGGGGTGAGGCGGAATGGGGAGATGAGGGATGGGGAGATGAGGGATGAGGAGATGAGGGATGGGGAGGTGTGGGATGGGGAGATGAGGGATGGGGAGATGAGGGATGGGGAGATGAGGGAAGGGGAGATGAGGAATGGGGAGATGAGGTAAGGGGAGATGAGGAATGGGGAGATGAGGGAGGGGGAGATGAGGAATGGGGAGATGAGGGAAAGGGAGATGAGGAATGGGGAGATGAGGGAAGGGGAGATGAGGAATGGGGAGATGAGGTAAGGGGAGATGAGGAATGGGGAGATGAGGGAAGGGGAAATGAACGCATATGCGACGGAAGCGGAGAACGACTTGTCGGTCGAGGGGAGGGTGCGTGCGTGGGTGACAGGAGGGGAATGAGCGAGCTCGTTCGAGGGAAGGGAGGAGATGGGGTGAGGAGGAGCTAAGGATTGGATGGATGGGAACAAGACGGGACGGAGGGAGCAAGCGTGGGCGATGAGAAGCGTGGGGGAAGGTGGGGGAAAGCGTGAGCGACGGTGGGAGCGTACGCGACATTATGGGGAAGCTTGGGTGACGGTGGGGGGAAGCGTGGGCGACGGTGGGAGGATGAAGGCCGAATGAGAGAAAGGGGGATGAGAGGATAGGGGGATGAGAGGAAAGGAGGATGAGAGGAAAGGAGGATGAGAGGAAAGGAGGATGAGATGATGGGCGGATGAGAGGATGGGCGGATGAGAGGATGGGCGGATGAGAGGATGGGCGGATGAGAGGATGGACGGATGAGATGATGGGCGGATGAGATGATGGGCGGATGAGATGATGGGCGGATGAGATGATGGGCGGATGAGATGATGGGCGGATGAGATGATGGGCGGATGAGATGATGGGCGGATGAGATGATGGGCGGATGAGATGATGGGCGGATGAGATGATGGGCGGATGAGATGATGGGCGGATGAGATGATGGGCGGGGTATAAGGGGGATAGGAGGATCCCTGCACCCTCTCTCCCTAACCCCCGCCTCCCCCGCTCCGCATCCCCTAACCCGCCCCCTGCAGCACTGCACTCCTTGCTGCCCGCCTGCACGCGCTGCCCGGGCTGTGCGCCCAACACTCTGCTCCACAGCCGCACCACCACCTGCCATGGGCGACGGTGGGGGGAAGCGTGGGTGACGGTGCGGGGAAGCGTGGGCGACGGTGGGGGGAAGCGTGGGCGACGGTGGGATGAAGCGTGGGCGACGGTGGGAGGAAGCGTGGGCGACGGTGGGGGAAAGCGTGGGCGACGGTGAGAGGAAGCGTGGGCGACGGTGGGGGAAAGCGTGGGCGACGGTGGGAGGAAGCGTGGGCGACGGTGGGAGGCAGCGTGGGCGACGGTGGGGGGAAGCGTGGGCGACGGTGGGAGGAAGCGTGGGCGACGGTGGGAGGAAGCGTGGGCGACGGTGGGAGGAAGCGTGGGCGACGGTGGGAGGAAGCGTGGGCGATGTGCGGGGAAGCGTGAGGGAAGGTGGGGGAAGGTGGGGGAGGGCGCGAGCGACGGTGTGGGGAAGCGTGGGGGAAGGCAGGAGGGAGCGTGAGCAGCGGTAAGGGGAAGCGTGAGCGACGGTGGCGGAAAGCTAGGGCGACGGTGGGGGGAAGTGTGAGAGGTGGGGGAAAGCGTTGGCGACATCGCGGTTTTGACAAGGACGGAAAGTCACAGAAATGTGAATTTTTTGTGATGAATACGTGACTATTTTCCGGGAGTTGTGTGAGAGACGGTGGGGAGAAGCGTGGGGGACGCAACGGTGGAAGCACAACCTGAAATACAGTCGATGCTCAGCCTATCACAAAACATTTGCTCCTCACAATTAGAAATTTAGTCACTCGCGAACGTTTTGCCCGTGAGTGACTAAATTGACCATTGTGCCGATTTCGGGGTACAGTCACCAAGTTGAGGAAGAAAAACATCTACAGTACATAAACAACAACGGTTGCCCGTCATCAGAGAAGTTAACCTGGTTACAAAATTAAAGCCCTTGACTCGATTCACGTTGCAATTTCATGTTACTGTCACATTTTTGCCCGTGGCGACAAGGGCGAACGTGGCGAAATGGCCAAAACTCGTTTCACGCACATGCCGCCCGCCTACCTGGTGTTCTTGAAATGGGCACCGACTGTACGAAAGAAGGCAAACTGTGCAACTTTGAGCGGTTGTTCCTTCAGGAGGGAGCAGTTGGGACTCTTGCCAACCATACTTGTTCTCCCCTACGACTCTGTGTTTTTTGGCGCGATGTTTTCTGGTAACCAGCCTGGCTCGGGAAGTCAACTGTGGGTTCGGAAGGCAAACTGTGCACAGTTTGCCTTCCTCTTTTTGTAATTCAGGTCTTGGGCTTTAAGTGCGATGGAGTCGCTGCTGCAGCAGTTTAATGAGCAGTTGAGTGTGGCCCTGGCGAGTGTCAGAGCCATGCGCCATCCCCGTCGGACTAGTAACGGCCGCCTTGCTGCTGCTGATGGTGATGATGATGCTGGTGCTGCTGCTGATGGTGCTGCTGCTGCTGCTGCTGCTGCTGCTGCTGCTGCTGCTGCTGCTGCTGCTGCTGATGGTGGTGGTGATGATGCTGGTGCTGCTGCTGATGGTGGTGGTGGTGGTGGTGCTGCTGCTGCTGCTGCTGCTGCTGCTGCTGCTGCTGCTGCTACTGCTGCTGCTGCTGCTGGTGCTGCTGCTGCTGCTGCTGCTGCTGCTGCTGATGGTGGTGGTGATGATGCTGGTGCTGCGGCTGATGGTGCTGCTGTTGTTGCTGCTGCTGGTGCTTCTGCTGCTGCTGCTGATGGTTGTGGTGCTGGTGGTGCTGGTGCTGGTGGTGGTGCTGGTGCTGGTGCTGCTGATGCTAGTGCTGGTGCTGCTTCTGCTGCTGGTGCTGCTGCTGATGGTGGTGGTGGTGGTGGTGCTACTGGTGGTGGTGCTGGTGGTGCTGCTGCTGGTGGTGCTTCTGCTGCTGATGCTGATGGTTGTGGTGCTGGTGGTGCTGGTGCTGGTGCTGGTGCTGGTGGTGGTGCTGGTGCTGCTGATGCTAGTGCTGGTGCTGCTTCTGCTGCTGGTGCTGCTGCCGGTGCTGCTGCTGATGGTGGTGGTGGTGGTGGTGGTGCTGCTGCTGCTGCTGCTGCTGCTGCTGCTGCTGCTGCTGCTGCTGCTGCTGCTGCTGCTGCTGCTGCTGCTGCTGGTGCTGGTGATGCTGCTGATGGTGCTACTGGTGCTGGTGATGGTGTTGCTGCTGCTGCTGGTGCTGCTGGCAGCAGGCAAAATGGCAGCTCAAAACCAGTCAGCAACAGCAGAGCTGCACGGGTCAGCGGAAGCATGACAGGCAAATCAAGTGGCAGCGGCACCACCAAAAGGGGCATTGCTGGGATTCCTGTGGAGGTTATCTGTCCTCCCTTACAATCCTTAACCCTCCGGGACTTTCAATTCACCCGAACCATTCCCGAGCCTGCCTGGCTGCCTCTATCCCTTCCCTCTGCCTCGCCTCTCATGTGCCTCGTGGATTCCCATGAATCCCGTCATGCACCCTCCTCGCCACTTCCCTCAACTCCCTCTTCCTCCCGCTCCTCTTCTCGCTTCTCTCCTGTTGCCGTGTCAACCATTTCAAGCCTGAGCGCGCAGCCGCAGTCCTTTGAATCCGTGGCACTAGCTGCTGTTTTTTGCGGCCTGAAGCGCCTATCTCTAGTATCGTGCTTCTGCCTGAAGGAGGAGCAGCTGCTGCTGCTGCTGCTGCGTGCCTGCCCCGCGCTGGTGGCTTTAATTGTCAAACATAGTGAGGACTTTTCGGATCGGGTGGTGGCGAGAAGCAAGTTGCATATGCTCACAGATTTGACTATGCTTGAGTGTGATGCGATCACTGGCGAGGGGGTTGGAGGGCTGCTGGGAAGCTTCCCGAAGTTGCGTGATTTGAAGGTGGAGGCAAGAAAGGTTGGTGAAAGGGCGCGCAGGGAGTTGCTTCGTGCGGGTGTGGTTCTGAGCCATGGGTGATAAAGCCACTTCGCTCATGCCTTCGCTCATGCCTTTGCTCATACGGTACTTTGTACTTGTTTGCCAACTTATTAGTGCAATCCTCGCTACATCGATACCACATCGCACCTGTAACAAAAGTCACAACAAATCCAGCATTTGCTATACCATCTAGCGACAAAAGGGGCGCCCTTGGCTCTGACAATACTCGTTAGATTCATCCTGCTAATATGGAGTAGGTTTGGGCGTGCCTGGTCCGTTGGACCAACCCTTGGTCGGCGAAGCAGTAGCTAGCAGGCAGGCCATTAACACCAGCTAGCAGGCGCCAGTACTACCCCGTAGCTAAACATTTTGCAACATGGTGTTGAGGGCTGATGCCTCCCCAATAGCATGCCATCCAAGCAGCGTTTAGCTTATTCCTCAGTGGAGGGACCGCTCGCCGCAAGCGCGCAACAGCATGATGGAGGCACGATATGAAGAAAAGTACTGTACCAAAACCCAGCCGACCGGATATACTATTATAATAATGATACAGGATTATTCAATAACACATGTCGCGATAACATTCTACAGATTCTGATAAAAACAGCCTACGATGAAGCGCTGTGTGCGGTCCAAATGTGGTTGCCGGAACTCCATATGCCATTCCCAACGCTGTACCATTTCTTGTTTAGTTTCGGTTTCTGGCCGACTTTATTCAGGAGCTCATCTGTCGTCGCCGGCGTGTTGGGGAATCAGATCACGCTGTCCCATTTCTGCTATCGCCCTAACATTATAGCCCTCCGGCTATAATCATCACTTCCCCATCCCCGCCCAGCCTTTGCGCATCCAGCCGAGGAAAGCCTCTGCCGTGAATTGCCCGGGGTTAACAATCGTCTGCGGCGACACCCAGCTGGCACGTGGTAGCGGAGAACCAAGTACAACGTCAGGCCCTCAAACACCCCCCACCCCCCCGCCCCCCCCACCCCTCCCCCCCTAGTCCACCACTGACACCCAGCTGGCACGCGGCAGTGAGTGAAGAGACAAGTACTAGGTCAGGCCCCCATTCCCGCCCAGCCTTTGCGCGTCCATCCGAGGAAAGCCTCGGCCGTGAAAAGCCCGGGGTTAAGAATCCTTTGCGGCGACACCCAGCTGGCACGTAGCAGCGAAGAAACAACGTTAAGCCCCCATGCCCGCCCAGCCTTTGCTCGTCCATCTGAGGAAAGCCTCGGCCGTGAAAAGCCCGGGGTTAACAATCCTCTGCGGCGACACCCAGCTGGCACGCGGTGACTTTTGAGTCGACTCAAAACACACCCAGCTGGCACGCGGCAGTGAAGAGACAAGTACAATGCCAGGTCCCCGTTCCCCCCTCACCCCCCCCTAGCCCACCACTTCCCGCTGTTGCCAACATCAGACCCCCATCCCCGCCCAGCCTTTGCGCGTCCAGCCGAGGAAAGCCTCGGCCATGAATCGTCCGAGGTTAACAATCCTCTGCGGCGACACCCAGCTGGCACGCGGCATGCGTGCCTCAAAAGCAACACCAACCAACACGTTAAGCTAGGCCCCCATGCCCGCCCAGCCTTTGCTCGTCCATCCCAGGAATTTCTCTGCCGTGAACCTCCCGGGGTTAACAACCCTCTGCGGCGACACCCAGCTGGCACGCGGCAGTGAGTGAAGAGACAAGTACTAGGTCAGGCCCCCATCCCCGCCCAGCCTTTGCGCGTCCATCCCAGGAAAGCCTCGGCCGTGAATCGCCCGGGGTTAACAATCCTCTGCGGCGACACCCAGCTGGCGCGCGGCATGCGCGCTCTGGGCCCCGTGCTCTAGAACTCGGCGAAATAGACGTCGTTCTTCCAGGCGAGCCTCATGGTGTCCGTGTCCCACGTCATCCACCCGTCTGGTTGGATCTCTGGGAGGGGGGAAAGGGGGGGAGGGAAGAGAGGGGATGGGGAGATGAGGTGGGAGAGTGGTGGAAAGAGCTTATGAGTTGGAGTAAGAAGCTTCATGATCGTCATCCACCCATCCGGTTAGATTTCCTGGCAGGGAGGGAAGGAGGGAGAGCAGGGGGGAAGAGCAAGGGGAGGGAACGGAGGGGGGGGAGGGGAGCAGGGGGGAACGGTTGGGGGGGGGGGGAGCATGAGGGATTGAAGCTTCAAGGTGTCAGTGTCCCACGTCATCCACCTGTAGCTTTCAGTTAGATTTCCTGGCAGGGGGGAAGGGGAGGAGGGAGAGGAAAGTGTGGGAGTGGGGAACCATGAGGTGGAGGTGGTGGAAAAGGAAATGGCTTAGACAAAACTTGTATCCCTCGGCCGCGGCCCAAGCGTGCTTCACCTTGGGAGAAGCAGTTGATGAAAATGGCCTTGCCAGTGTTGGTCCACGGCCAACCCAGGTAAGCCTTCCCCACCCCCGCATCGGCATTGATAACTGCATTCCTGATAATGATCCCCTTGGGTTCCGGGTATGTGGGGTCGTTCTGAGGCGCCGTGATGATCACCGGATCGTCCTTATGAAGCCTGATTTGCGGGCGGTCGAACACGGCCGCTCCTTTCCCGAAGATGAAATCCACAGTGCCGCCCACTTTGCAGTCACGGAAATACTGCCGCCCGCTGTGAGGGTAGAGCGTGTCCTGGTTGCTGTCAAACTCGCACTCGAAAAATGCGGAAATGTCTTCGGAGCGTAGAGCCATTGCTTGCTGGCCCACTCTCCCGGCCGTGTTGCGCACTGTTATTCCGAGGGCCATAAACATGCCTTTGTTGGCGCCTGGTGGTGGGGGAACGGGAAAGAGAGAGAGAGAGACGGAGAGGGAGACGGGGAGGAGGGAAGGTGGCGGGGTGAGGGTGAGAGGGGGTACTATGCTGTGAGGGTACAGCGTGTCCTGGTTGCCGTCAAACTCGCACTCGAAGAAGGCTGAGAGGTCTTTGGAGCGCAGCGCCACTGCTTGATGGCCCATTGTTCCGGCCGTGTTGCGCACGGTGATTCCGAGGGCCGTAAACATGCCCTTGTTGGCGCCTAGGAGGGGGGAGAGAGGAGGGAGCGCAGAGTTACTGCCTGCGGGCCCGCTGTCCTGGCTGTGTTGCGGACTGTGATGCCCAGGGTGGTAAGCATGCTGTTGTTGGCACCGGGGGTAGATACACAAGCAAGAAAGGAGGGAGATGGAGGGAGAGGGATAGGGGAGGAGAGAGTAGAGAGAAGGGGAGTCAGGTAGCCATAGCGATGGACAGAGAAGGAGGCAGGATTTGAAATTGACGAATGAGCTGTAAGGGGAGAGAGGAGGGATAGAGCGCGAAGTAGGAGAAGAGTTTGCGAGAGAGGGAAAGGAGGGAGAGAGGAAAAGGAGAGGAATGGAGAGGGAGAGAGGGAGATTGCTTGCCAATGATAGTGGAGTTGAAGGTGGTGGATTTTCCAACCATACTCTTCTTGCCAGTGATGACAGGAGAAGAGAAGGAGAAAGGGAGAGAAGCTGAGAGAGGGAGAGAAGCTGAGAGAGGGAGAGAAGCTGAGAGAGGGAGAGAAGCTAAGAGAGGGAGAGAAGCTGAGAGAGGGAGAGACCAATGGTAGCAGAGTTGAAGGTGGTGGATCCGCCGACCACATTCTTGTTGTTAGTGATGATAGTCCTGCCCAGTCCCTCTCCCACCAAAACGATCCCACCAGATTGGGAGAGAGGAAGAGAGATGGAAGGGGAATGCTTACCAATGGTAGCAGAGTTGAAGGTGGTGGATCCGCCAACCACATTTTTGTTGTTAGTGATGATAGTCCTGCCCATTCCCTCTCCCACCAGAACAATCCCTAGGTTGTCAAACAGAATCTGCTCCACGTACACTCCTGTCTTGACGAATATAACGAACGTGCCTTTCATTGGTGCGGAAGCAATTGCAGCCTCCGAAAAGAAGGGAGAGTAGAAAGGGAGAAGAGATGAATTCATGAGACGCAGGAGATGGGTAAAGTATTTAGTCGTCGCTCCTTTCTTGATAAATATAACGAAAGTGCCCTCCATGGGTGCGAAAGCAATCGCAGGCTGCGCTCAAATAACGAGGAAGAAAATGTAACTGTCTCAAGTCACAAAAAGCTGATGTCTAACACCTTTCGGAGCAGGCAATCGGAGAATCCAAAAACGAGAATATTAGCCCTCTGTGCAATCTTTCCCTTTCATCCCTCGCAACCCACTGTGTCCATCCTCTCAGAGGCTCTTGCCTTGAGCGTCTTGTGCGTGCCTGAACTGTCCTTTGCAACGATCGCATTTATCCGGGGCGGCAACAGGCTGTTGTATACGCCGTTGAAGCTGCTCGTATCCAAAATCCCTCCCACTTTTACGCCGCCGATTTTGCTCAACTTTTCGTTGCTGCTGCTTTGAAGCCCCCTCCGAAGCGTGTTGCCAGATTCGTGCGAATCACCCGCGTCCCCGCTATAAGTAGAATCAGCGCCCTCGTCCATTAAGCGGCGTCGGATAGAGTCACTCTGCGCCGTTGTGTCTGCTGCCTCCGCTCCCCCCGCGTCGTCGCCTGTCTCTGCGCCATCCAGGCCAAGGAGTCTCCGCGCGCCCGGCGCGTCCCCCGAGTCTCCTCCGCGCATGTGCGCTGCCTAGATGCGCTTCAAGTGCTCGAACATCCCCGGAGTTACCCACCCAGGCATGCCGCTGTCGTTCGATTGGTCTGTTTTCGCTACTCTCCGGCGGCGAGGGGGGGAATCATAGTTGTACCCGTAAGCGTCGGCGGAACCATCATCGGCGGAAGAAATTCCGCCTGCTGAGGCGGAGATCTCGTCGTCGATTGCGCACGGGACGCACGCGTGGGCTTTGGTAACTGTGACTGTAATGAGCGTAACTTCCGACCGAAGACTAATCCCCGGCGCCGTTTCCAGCACATCCGGCGCGAATTCTTGCAGCCCCTCGACACAGCTGTCGATGTTCGCCCGAGCTGACGTCAAGAGGTATGATAGGTCGTCAACCAAAGCCGTCCGATCGGCCGGAAATATCGGACGGCCGTCAGAACGCCGACTTTCCCGAGTGGCTTGTGAGCCGTTGATTGAGGCGGTAACGGCATTCGGCGAGTTTTCGAGATTATCGAGCGCCATGGATATCTACCCGGGTGAGCAAGGCAGGGAGGGAGGGGTGGTGGAGGGATCGAGGGAGGGAGGGATTCATAAATCAAGCAGTTTGACAGATCGTTGAACGAGAGGAGCATATGCTTGGAATGTTGTTCACATAGAGCAGATAAGCTCGAATCTTTTAACCGCAAGATGAAAGTTTCGTTTACCTTGTGAACGCAGTCAATCGCTGCCGCGTGCGTCAGCGAACTTTCGTCCGCGTTTTCCGCCTTCAGCTGCGCCACGTGTTACATCGTCGCCTGCGCGCGCTCCATTGCGCGCCGAATGAGCGCCCGCTGATGCCGGGAGGAGTTGGCGGAGCGGAATCCGCGCGCAGAGAACGCCTCACGGAGATGACTTCCGCGGAGCACAGGGCCGAGTGCTTCGGCAGGAGAGCGCATGCGTCGGGCAGCAAAAGATCCTCGTTGAGAATACATACAGTAGCTTGACCAATGAGAGCGATTGCGAACGCTACTATGAGAAGGACAAAACTGTACGTCATCAAATTCATGATGGGAATTCTCATTTCCCGTGAAGGCTCGCTTCAGCTCTCCCAGTCGCACGCCCTGATTTGATCCCTGCAGCCAGGGCTGACGTTTCATATTAGGCCTCCCTGATTCCGGGGAAATTTTTTCCCCTCTATTATGAGTGCACATTTTTCAGAATGATGCTACCCTGATTGCTCAGGGTTGAAAAGTATGTAACTCTTATTGTTCAGGGTCGAAAATCGATGACCAGGGTAGTAACGCGCCCTTTGTTACCGGGGAAGAAGTATCGCTCTGCATAAAGTCTGCGCTTTGTGTTCAGGCCTCAGGATTGCAGGGCATTTTACCCTGATTAGCCTGTTTTTCAGGGTCGTGTTTCGGAACCACACTGTCAATACAGGTCTCAAGGGTTTGACCACCCTGACACGATCAGGCCTCGTGAAATGTTTTCCCTTGCTTTGCAGTTGTTGGCTCTTGTAGCACACTGCCTTGGCTGAGTTCGGTAGTGGCAGCACTCTGACTGAGTTTTTTCCCCCTCGGCTATTCGAGAACTGGCTAAGTCCTTGCCAAGAGACACTCACACACACCAGAACAAGCATCGGATGTGCTCGAAAACTGGCCAAGTCTTTCCCACAGAGACAGTCACACATACACGAGAACAAGCATCGGATGTGCTAAAAACTGACTAAGTCCTTTCCACGGAGACACTCACACAGATTGGACCGCTGCAGCATTGTTCAAAATTTCACCCTGCCATACTAGACCAGAAATTTTTCAGCACCCTGCCATTTCTAGGGTACGACGCGGCAGCAACACTGCAGTGGCAGTGTGACTTCGACCTGAAACTTTGATTTGACAGGGTGGCCCAAAACAAATCAAGACCCCTGTTTGTGATTCGCGCACACTTTGAGAGTGCTAATTTCCACTCTTTTAATTTTAGAAACTAGTAAGTATCCACACGTTGTTGCGCGGGCAAAATACGAGCGATTTTGGTCAACCGAACATTTCGATTCAATACCACAGATGTGCCATGTTTTTAATTCGCCGAGTACCTAAATGTCGCCAACATCGCTGTGCGAAACGCTGAAATAGTTCTGGTAACTTCACACACACACAATTTCGATAGTAGTATAACCAGCTCGCAGCTTGTAAAAGTAACGAACATTGAGTGTTCTCTCTTGTGAGACATGCGAAGTAATGATTACGCACACACGCGAAGTAATGATTACGCACCCGGGGGGGTTATCGTGAGAAAGTTTTGAGCAATCTTCGTCCTGATACCCTCGCATTCAGGGTCCACAGAACGCGTACTCTACATTGACAGAGTCGGTAAGTACACTACTCTGAGCCTAGTTACAGAATTTCAGGGTTCCATAAAAGACTATTCTGAATGGATCAGAGATCACAAGTTGAAAAAGCTGAAATGGCAGAGACCACCAGGTGAGAAGCCTGTAATCACCCTGAAATCAGGGTAATTACCCTGATAAAATCAGCCCTGCCTGCAGCTGAATCGAGCAGCAGCAGGCTATTCCAGGAGCGCAATAGCTAGGGAATCAGGAAGTATTGAGAGGAAATAGCATGAATTCAGCTGTTCGTTCCAGCATATTCATTGTGAATAAGGGGCTCAAATTATGCACACCTCACGCACAGAACCAGGTGAGTGAGGGGTGGATTATTTGTACGGTACGATAAGTGGATTATACATTTGAGACAGATGCGCGGCTCGAGCCGGCTGGATTTATTTGAGACAGATGCCGACGATTGTCCGCAACTCACAGCTTTGCGAGAGGAAAATGAATATAGCACAAATAATGCAGTGCTCAGTGTAATTCAAGCGGGAGGCTTCAATTATTGCAGGAAGACTGATGCTTCCTTGTATGCAAAGCATTTCCGTATAGATTTGTCCCACAAGGAATCTCTTACGAAATTATTATGCTAGAATATAATGCGTATCATATTTTGGATTCCATGGACACAAAAATTCAACTGGAAATTTAAATGATAGAGAATATATCTGCAAGTATATTTCCTTAACCTTAATGAAAATAAACTAGGCAAACGTCAGAGTGCATTCTGACATTTTTCGCTAGACTGATCCTGCTAATATGGGGTATCCTATTATGGTGTTCTGGGAACTTCGGAATGTCGCACTCGGAACTGCATAAAGCCTAAGGGCGACGTCAGGTTGTACAACTTTTTGTACGCCCACTGCGGTTAACTTCGTTTCAACACGGTGCAGAGCGATATACGTCAAGAACCTCTTTCCACCGTTTTGGACCGTCTTGAGCCACGATACAAGAACTGTAAACCCATGTGAAATGTATAACCTAACGTCGCCCTAAACGCGACATCTTCCACTTCCCAGCAAACACTCTCCTACCATTCCCTTCCATCCCGTCCCGTGTCTCGCCATTTCTCTTCCCATCGCTAACGCCATCGCTCTTGTCGCGTCTCCCGTCGTCCGTCACCTGCATTCTTCGTTCCCATTCCCCCTCCCTTCTACCTTCTCTCGTTGCTCTCCTCTCCCTGCGCCCTCCCCACCCCATTTCTCCGTAATCTCCGCTCTCCATCACGTGAGCGCGGCGAGATGGCGCTTGCCGGATTTGCCTTCGAGGTCTTCGGCAAGGTAATAACGGGGATGCGGATGAGCGATGCATCAGGCCGTCCGTAAAAGTTGCTTGCTCCTTTCTATCAGTTTCTGTCAGGTGTAGGGGTTCGGTCCATCATCAATAATCTTCATTTTATCACTTTCTGTCAGGTGCAAGGCGTGTCGTTCCGGTATTACACGAGCCATAAAGCGACTTCCCTGGGGCTGGTGGGGTGGTGCCGAAACACAGACATGGGGACAGTGGAGGGGGAGATTCAGGGGCGCAAGGAGAACGTGCAGGAGATGTGAGTATAACGAGTTGGTGCGTGCAGGAGATGTATGATGAAGTGGTGCAAGGAGTGTCGTTCAAGTACCACACGGGCCACGCGGCGACCGCACTGGGGCTGGTTCAGTAACACAGACATGGGGACAGTGGAGGGGGAGATTTAGGGGCGCAGAGAGAACGTGCAGTAGGTGTGAGTATATCGAAGTTGAGTATATGAGTGGTAAAGCAGCGATGCCATTAAAGTGAAGCCACAGCTGGAGTGCAGTTAGCTGAGGTCGTTCATTGTGGTGCTTGCCTTCTCTTCTCTCTCGCTTCTGGCCATTACTCAACACATTTGGTGCTGCTTTTGGGAAATGTGAAAAGCAACACCAACATAGGTGCCATTAAGGTTGTTCATTGTGGTGCGTGCCTTCTCACTCGTCTCTGGCCATTACTCAACACATTCTCCCTCCTTTCTCCCTCCCTCCCACATTCTCCGCCTCCACACCCCCCTCCCCCTCAACACCCCTCCCTTCTCCTCCCTTCATCTGTCTGCTTCGCATCTGGACATTGCTGCATTGGGCTGCAGGAAGGTATGGCTATGCACCACTGGCTCTCCTTATTCCCGCATCGAGCGATGCGCTTTTAAGAATGAGGTGGACGATCTTAAAGAGTTGTCTTTCAAGTCATTCCGCGTACGCCATTAAGGCTATGAACGAGCTATAGATCTTCAGAAAAATAATGCTGAAAGAGGCTAGGCCTTGAGAATATCGATGAATATAATATAATATAATATAATATAATATAATATAATATAATATAATATAATATAGTATAGTATAGTATAGTATAGTATAGTATAGTATAATAAAATATAATATAATATAATATAATATAATATAATATAATATAATATAATATAATATAATATAATATAATATAATATAATATAATATAATATAATATAATATAATATAATATAATATAATATAATATAATATAATATAATATAATATAATATAATATAATATAATATAATATAATATAATATAATATAATATAATATAATATAGGATGTTAGGGCATTGGTTGTCCAGTACCGGAATCTGGAATGCTTACGGGCAATAATTAGTAGAGAACCTTTAGTTGTGATTGACAGATTCATTGTGCTTCGCCAAACATATTATTGATTCACAAGCCCGATTATTCCAAAACGGGTACTTCACTAAATCCCTTGTTATGGGTTCAGTGTGTGCGTTTTCTAGTCATGTCACATATTTTTGTTCGGTCGAATACGTTCCAAAGAGGTACCGTAATGCACGAGAAGTAGAGCCAAACTAATCCCAACAGATACAGTGCCTTGGTGTTGGCTCAAAGCGCCAAACCAACCACTCATTATCTTAGCAAAACGTTTTTCAACACAACGTAAACCGTACTACACCGAACTCTGACATACTTTGGTGATGTCGACCAGGGTCAAAATAGCAGTCCAGTTCGCTTTTTCTTAGAACAAATTCAATCCACTACTTCTTTCTCAGCGCTCCTTCTGCTGCTATTCCTCTCGGATCCTTACTCCCTCCATTCATACGATGCTCCCTGCAAGCCGGTGACACGCGTTATTCACTGTGACACCGTCGAAGCAGCTGTGACGCGTCAGCATGGCAGTCGGTGGTATGGACTTGAAATGGGTGCGGCGGCGCGTCACCGAAGCGCTTCTCGTGAGCGGCGCGATCGTGGCGTGCCTTGTGAATCACCATGTCCCCGAGCCATACATGGTTCGAGTATAAGTATTGAATCGAAGCCACCATGCTTTCCAGACGTACATGGTGCGAGACTGATATCCCACAATGCGTGATTTAAAACCTTAGTCGTCAAAAGTCACCGCAAGCGTGGCGTGCCTCGTACATGGCGCGAGAATAGTATTGTTTTGAGTCGACTCAAAACTCGACTGCAATTATTGTCTAAGACGCCTCGGAGTCCACATGTCCTTCAGCAGAGCACACTGTACCAGAATAGTTGCCTATGGTGTAGACTAGTTCGCTGACACCCATCATTGATCATCGTGTTTCCCAGCTGTGCATGGTGCGAGATAAATTTACAATTCTTGACCCTACCCCCCACCACCTCCCCTCTTTCCAAACTCCCCTCTTTTCCCCCTCCCCTCCCCCTCCCCTCCCCCTCCCCTCCCCTCCCCTCCCCTCCCGAAATTCAGGACGAGATATTCCACGTGCCTCAGACGCAGCAGTACTGCCGAGGGGACCTGCTGACGTGGCACCCGCTTATCACCACGCTGCCGGGCCTGTAAGTCAATGCAAGTCAACGCAATTCAGCACAAGTCAGAGTCAACAATGTTAGTTCGCCTTTCCTGTTCTCTGTTCCTTCCCCCTTCCCTTCTCTGTTCTCCTCCTTCCTTCCTTTCCCCCCTTCCTTTCCTTCCTCTCCCCCCCAGTTTCTTTTCTTTCTCTCCTCACTCTGCGCCTTCCACTCACCCCTATCCCCCAAGTACTACCTATCCCTTGTATTCGTGGTACAGGAGACGACTTTTGAGGCGCCTCAAAAGTCCACTCACCCCTATCCCCCAGTTACTACGTAGCCCTTTTATCCGCAGGCATGCAATACGCCCTCCCGCATCCTCCCCTCTCCTTCTTCCTTCACACCCCCCATCTTCCCCCCGTCCTTCCCAACCCCACTTCTGCATTCCCCATCTCTCAGCTATTACCTAGCCCTTGTATTCGTGGGCATGCAATACGCTCTCCTGCAACTCCTAGGCATCGCCAAAATCGCTGCCCGCCTGGCGTCCACGTCAGATGCCACGTCAGACGCCACCCTGTCAGGTGCCACGTCAGCAGCAGGCGTGTCATTCGCGTCCCTGTGCTCCCCCGTGGCGCTGCGGTCTCTCAACCTCCTCCTCCTCGTCCTCTCCTTCCCCCTCTTCTACTCCACTGCCCGTGCTGCTGCCGCTGCTGCTGCTGGTGCTGCTTCTGGTGCCTCTGATGCTGCTGGTGCAACAGCAGTTGCAGCTCGTTCAAACAAGGTACTGTTGTGAGTAGGACCCCACTCCCCCTCCCCGTCCTCCTCCCCTTCCAAGGTGACCTTTGAGTTGAGTCAAAAGACGTCAGCTGCAGCTCGTTCAAACAAGGTACTGCTGTGTGAGTAGGACATCACACACTCCCTCCCCGTCCTCCCCCTTTCCTCCAACTTTCTCCTTCATTCGTTATGCCTCCCTTCCCATCCCATCCCTGCCTCCCCTCCTCCTTAGAAATCTTCACCTCCTCCTCTCAAATCGTCCTTCCACTCCTCCTCTCAGCTCATCCTCCCTCTTGTATAATCTGGATGCTCGTCCTCCATAGGGCCGAACCGAACGTACACGCTGCTGGATCCATGCATCCCGACGACTTTTTTGAGGCGCCTCAAAAAACTTACATGCTGTTGGATCCATGACCAGATTTGAAATCGCCTGAGAAGGCGACTCGTTCTCCCGTCGATGTAGTTTCTTCCACACAGCCGAAACTCGCATGCTGGAACGGAACTCCCGTACGCTTGCCTGCGTGGTACGTTTCTTCCCGTGGCCATAGCACACATGCTCCTTCATCATAATCCATAATCCATGATCCATGATCCATGATTTGATCCTCCATTCTTTGTCATATCCCCTACCCATACCCCCCTCCCCAGGCGGGCAAGCCGCATTCGCGACCTCGAGGTGTCGCAGCCTTGCTACACAGATACGAAACCAGATATGACACCAGAGACGAAACGCGGGACGGCACCGGAGATGAAACGCAAGACGAAGCCGGGAACAGCACGGAAAATGACACCAAAAGCCGCCCGCGCAAGCACGCGCCTTGGGACGAGGTCGACGAGGACTGCACGTGGAGGGCGGCGATGTTTGTCCTGTTCCCCCTGCACTGGTTCTTTGGATTCCTATACTACACGGACGTGGCTTCGTCTGTAGCGGTGCTGGCTATGATGCGATGTGTTTACAAGAGGCAACACCACCGCGCCGCGTTGGTAAGCGTTCTTTTCTGTGCTATTTTACCCTGCCCCACTCCTCTCTACCGCACACATTGGCTTGGCGTCGTGTGTAGCAGTGCTGGCTATGATGCGATGTGTGTACAAGAGGCAACACTACCGTGCTGCAATTGTGAGTGCCCTGTCTTTCTTCACTTCACTCTGTTCCACTCCTCTCTAGCTGTCTCTCTAGCCTCCACCTCTTGTCCCTCATCCCAATGCTCGTCTTTCCCTCCCCTCCCCCCCTCTCCCCCCCTCCCAGCTAGCAGCAGGCCTCATAATCCGCCAGACCAACTCTGTGTGGGCCCTGCTCGCTCTCTGCCTCCCTCACTATGCCTATCCACTTCCTGCTCTGTCTCACAGGTTCCCCCCCCCCTGCCGCCCCCCCCTCCCTCCCGCACCCCCCCCCCCTGGCAGCTAGCAGCAGGCAGCATCATCATCCGCCAGACCAACGCCGTGTGGGCTCTGCTCGCTCTCTGCCTCTCCGCCTCGCAATTCCTGGGCATGCCCACACTTCTGACCCCCCAGGAAACTGCACAGTTAGAAGGGTTCCAGGCTCGAGGATTAGATATGCGGGCAGGGTCAGAAGCACAGAGAGTTGCAGCACGAAAGGACACAGCAGAAAAAGACAAGGCAGAAAAAGACAAGGCAGGAAAAGACAAGGCAGAAAAAGACAAGACCGACAAGGACAGCAGGGGCAGATCTGCTGAGCATGGGGATTTACAAAACGGCGTCGCCACCGATCGGATAAAGGGAAGCTTCCAGGATCCTTCCTGGGCGACGGGGGCAGCTGCGAGAGGGGAGGACGCACCCAGGGCGCTCCTGCTGCTGCTGCACCGCGCGTGGGCCCTGCGGGGGAAGTTTCTCGGAAGCTTCTTCCCGCTGCTGGCGGTGTTGGCGGCGTTTTTTGTCTTTGTGCGTGTCAACGGGGGAATCGTTGTCGGTGAGTGATGAGGCGTTGAGGCTATGTGTGTGTTGTGTACTTGTGTTTTGAGTCAATTTAAAACACACTATTGCCGGCAGTGTTGACGGCATTCTTTGTCGTTGTGCGTGTCATTAGGGGAATCGTCGTCGGTGAGTGGATGACCCATCCTGAGGCGTTGAGGCGTTGTGTTTATGTCTGAGTGTACCTGTGAATGAGTGTGTTTTGAGTCAATTCAAATTGCACCATTGCTGTTCTTCTGCACATCACCCTTCCATGCCTCTAACTCTGAGTTGAGAAATGTTGAGGATTCTTGAGTTGGAGTCAGCCAGCCAGCCGCTCTGCTGCACATCACTATTGAGACTTCAGCCATTTCATGCAGCCGCTCTGCTCCACGGCCTTCCCTGCTCCACGGCCTTCCCTGCTCCACAGCCTTCCCTGCTCCACAGCCTTCCCTGCTCCACGGCCTTCCCTGCTCCACAGCCTTCCCTGCTCCACGGCCTTCCACAGCAGCATGTACTTCCCTCCCTCTTGCTCTCCTCCCCACCCCACCCCATCCCTGGCACCCCACCGCTCCCCACCTCACCAACCCAGGTGCCCGCACAGAGCACCGGCTCTTCCCCCATCTCATTCAGCCACTCTCCTTCGCATCCTTCCTTGTTTCATGACGACATTTGCGCCTCCTTGCACCCCTCCTCACTGCACCCCACTCCACCAAACTCCACTTCTCCCCACCCAACCCCACCCCACCCCACCCCACCCCATCCAGGAGCGCGCACAGAGCACCGTCTCTCCCCCCATCTCACACAGCCACTCTACTTCGCAGCCTTCTCCGCACTCTCCCTCTCGCCCCTCCTCCTCGCCCCTTCCTCCCTCCTCCCCCTCCTCTCCACCACCTCTTGCTCTCTCCGATCGGCCCCCGGTCGCTGCCTCGTCCTCTCTCTCCTCGTCTCCGCCCTGCTCTTTCTCACCATAAAACACTTCAGGTATCATTGTCGCCCCATCCTTGTCTACCTCCTCTCATTCCCTTCTCTTCCTTTCTGACCGTCGTCCCCCTTCTCTCTTTTCCACCCTCGTCCTCTCTCTCCTCGTCTCTGGCCTGCTCTTCCCAACCATCAAACACTTCAGGTATCATCGTCCCTCTTTCCTTTCTCCGTCCTCGCTCTTCCTCCTTCCTCCCCCTCCCTCCTCTCCTCCTCCTCTCGCTCTTCCTCCTTCCTCCCCCTCCCTCCTCTCCTCCTCCTCTCGCTCTTCCTCCTTCCTCCCCCTCCCTCCTCTCCTCCTCC